ACTTTTCATTTTGTGAAATCTTTACATTTTTTAAATTTAAAACTATTTCTAGAATCAACTCTTCAGTAAATTGTAAGATTTTGTGAAATATAACACTATTGAGTCACTTTCTAGAAAAAATCGTAGAAAATGTCCTAAAATTACCTAAGTCAGTTGACTTTTTAGAAATTTGCAAGATATTTTTACATTTTATAGAGATTTTGTGAAATCTTTGCTTTTTTAAAATTTGTAACAGAATGTAAGACTATTTGTAGAAAATCAACTTTTCAGTAAATTGTAACATTTTGTGAAATATTTCACTATTTGGGTGACTTTTTAGAAAAAATTGTAGAAAAATGTCCTAAAAATCGACTGCTCGATTTTTTGAAATATTTCACTATTCAGTTGACTTTTTAGAAATTTCCAAGATATTTCAACTTTTTATAGAGATTTTGAGAAATCTTTGTATTTTTTTAATTTGTAACTGAATATAAGACTGTTTCTGGAATATTAACTATTCAGTAAATTGCAGGATTTTGTGAAATATTTCACTATTTGGGTGACTTTCTAAAACAAATCATTGACAAAATTCGAGGATTTTGTGAAATATGTCTCTATTCAGTTGACTTTTTAGAAATCTGCAAGATATTTTTACTTTTTATAGAGATTGTGTGAAATCTTTACATTTTTTAAATTTGTAACTGAATGTAGGACTGTTTCTAGAAAATCAACTCTTCAGTAAATTTTAAGAGTTTGTGAATTATTTCATCATTTGAGTGACTTTCCTGAAAAATCGATTCAGTTGACCTTTTAGAAATTTGCATTATACTTTTTGTAGAGATTTTCTGAAATGAAAAAATAGTTGACAAAATTAGAAAAATTTCCTAAAAATCAACTGCTCAGTTTTTTACAATATTATGTGAAAGATTTCTCTATTCATTTGTCTTTTTAGAAAATTGCATGATATTTCAAATTTTTATATAGAATTTGAGAAATCTTTGCATTTTTTAAATATGTAACTGGATGAAATTCTGTTTCTGGAATATCAACTATAAATTTCAGTACATTGCAAGATTTTGTGATTTCTAAAAGAAATCATTGACAAAATTAGAAGATTTTGTGAAATATGTCTGTATTCAGTTGACTTTTTAGAAATTTACAATATATTTCTACTTTTGTTTCTAGAAAATCAATTGTTCAGTGCATGGCAAGATTTTGTGAAATAATTGACTATTCATTTGACTTTTCATAAATTTGCAAGATATTTCTACTTTTGTGAAATATTTTACTACTCAGTTAAGTTTTTAGAAATTTTTATAGAAATTTTGTGAAATCTTTGCATTTATTTCAAATTTGTAACTGAATGTAAGACATTTTAAGATTTTGTGAAATATTTCACTATTTGGTTGACGTTCGTTGACAAACTTAGAAGATTTTGTGAAATATTTCTCTATCCAGTTGACTTTTCATAAATTTGCAAGATATTTCTACTTTTGGGAAATATTTTACTATTCAATTGAGTTTTTCAAAAATTGAAAGATATTTCTACTTTTTATAAAAATTTTGTGAAATCTTTGCATTTGTAGGAAATCAACTTTTCAAGATTTTGTGAAATATTTCACAATTCAGTTGAGTTTTTAGAAATTTTTCAAGATATTTCAAATTTTTATAGAGAATTTGAGAAATTGTTGCATTTTTTAAATAGGTATGTAACTGGATGAAATACTGTTTCAACTATAAATTTCAGGATTTTGTAAAATATTTCACTATTTATGTGACTTTCTAAAAGAAATCGTTGAAAAACTTATAAGATTTTGTGAAATATTTCACTATCCAGTTGACTTTTCATAAATTTGCAATCTGTGAAATATTTTACTATTCAGTTGAGTTGTTTGAAATTTGAAAGGTATTTCTACTTTTTATGAACATTTTGTGAAATCTTTGCATTTTTTAAATTTGTAAGTGAATGTAAGACTATTTGTAGAAAATCAACTTTTCAGTAAATTGTAAGATTTTGTGAAATATTTCACCATTCAGTTGACTTTTTAGAAATATGCAAGATATATCAAATTTTTATAAAGAATTTGAGAAATCTTTGCATTTTTATACCCTTCACCTTCGTGAGAAGGGTATATATAAGTTTGTCATTCCGTTTGTAATTTCTATAATATAATTTTCCGACTCCATAAAGTATATATATTCTGGATCCTTATAGGTAGCGGAGTTGATTAAGCTATGTCCGTCTGTCTGTCCGTCTTTGTGTTTGTTGAAATCAGTTTTTAGAGGACTCCAGATGTCGGCGAGATCCGAATCTTCAATAATTCTGTTAGACATGCTTTCGAGAAGATCGCTATTTAAAGTCAGCCAAATCGGTCCATAAATACCGGAGATATGAGCAAAAATCCGAGACAACCTCTGAAAATTTCATAAAAAAGACAATTTTTTTCATGCTTTGATATAAGCAACAACAACAACACTGCTTATGAGTATTTCGTTTCATATGTTTGGATGTCTGTTGCTTTCATTGCGTTGTGTATATTGTTTTTTTCCTTGATGTATTCATTTTCGTATGTTTGGATGCTGTTGGTTTTACTGCCTTGTGTATTTTGTTTTTGTGTGGTTATTTCGTTTAGCGCAGTTGTTGTTCATTTTGTTTTGCTATTGTTATAATAATGATATAGTCAGAAAAATGAAATAAATATAAATTTTAATAAATTGATATTTATTAAATACACTATGGTGAAGGGTATATAAGATTCGGCACAGCCGAATATACCACATTTACTTGTTTAAATTTGTAACTGAATGTAAGACTATTTCTAGAATATCAACTATTCAGTAAATTGCAGGATTTTGTGAAATATTTCACTATTTATGTGACTTTCTAAAAGAAATCGTTGACAGAATTAGAAGATTTTGTGAAATATGTCTCTATTAAGTAAGGTTTTTAGAAATTTACAAGATATTTCTACTTTTGTTTCTAGAAAATCAACTGTTCAGTGCATAGCAAGATTTTGTGAAATATTTGACTATTCATTTGACTTTTCATAAATTTGCTAGATATTTCTACTTTTGTGAAAAATTTTACTACTCAGTTGAGCTTTTAGAAATTTTGTAAAATTTCAGTAAATTGCAAGATTTTGGGAAATAATTCACTATTTGTGTGACTTTATAAAATAATTCGAAGATTTTGTGAAATATGTATCTATTCAGTTGAGGTTTTAGAAATTTTGTAAAATTTCAGTAAATTGCAAGATTTTGGGAAATAATTCACTATTTGTGTGACTTTATAAAATAATTCGAAGATTTTGTGAAATATGTATCTATTCAGTTGACTTTTTAGAAATTTGCAAGATACTTTTACATTTTTTGGATTTTGGAAATCTTTGCTTTTTTTAATTTGTAACTGAATGTAAGATTTTATGAAATATTTCACCAATTGAGTGACTTTCTAGAACCAGTCGTTGACAAAATTAGAAGATTTTGTGAAATATTTCACTATTCAGTTAAATTTTTAGAAATATCAAAGATATTTCTACATTTGTGAAATATTTCACTATACATTTAATAGAAATTTTGTGAAATTTTTGCATTTTTTTAAATTTTTAACTGAATGTAAGATTGTTTTTTAAAAATCAACTGTTCAGCTGCAAGATTTTGTGAAATATTTCACTATTTAGAAAATTTTGTGGAATATTTCACTATTCATTTGACTTTTTAGAAAAATGTCCTAAAAATCAATTGCTCAGTAATTTTCAAGATTTTGTGAAATATTTCTCTACTCTGTTGAGATTTTAGAAATTTTGTGAAATTTCAGTAAATTGCAAGATATTTCTTTCATTTTGTGAAATCTTTGCATTTTTTTACATTTGTAACTGAATGTAAGACTATTTGTAGAAAATAAACTCTTCAGTAAATTTTTAGATTTCTAGAAAAAAATCGTAGAAAATGTCCTAAAAATCTAGCAGTCGATATTGTTCAAGATTTTGCGAAATATTTCACTATTCAGATGACCTCTTAGAAGTTTGCAAGATATTTCAACATTTTATAGAGATTTTGAGAAATCTTTGTATTTTTTTTTTAATTTGTAACTGTTTCTAGAATAACAACTATTCGGTAAATTGCAAGATTTTGTGAAATATTTCACTATTTGGTTGATTTTCTAGGAAAAATCTTTGACAAATTAGAAGATTTTGTGAAATAGTTTACTATTCATTTGACTTTTTAGAAAAATGTCCCAAAAATCAACTGCTCAGTAATTTTCAAGATTTTGTGAAATATTTCGCTATTCAGTTGTTTTTTTATAATTTTGCAAGATATTTCAAATTTTTATAGGGAATTTGAGAAATCTTTGAATTTTTTATACCCTACACCACTTTAGTGGGGAGGGTATATTGGATTTGGGTTGATGTTTGTAACATACAAAAATATTCGTCTTAGACCCACCTTAAAGTATACCAATCGGCTTAGAATCGTTTTCTGACCCAAGGACGAAGCCTATTGAAAATGGTTAAAATCGGTCCATTATTTCACCTAGCCCCCATAGAACAGAACCCCCCGAAAAAGGCTTCTGAGCTCATAATTATGTTAAATATACAGATATATCGATAAATTACGGCACAACTAAGTTTTATAGAAGTCTTGATGACCCTGCCTAATTTCATACCAAGTCCGCTTCAGAAAATTACTTGAATGTCCCAAATTAACTTATAAACACAAATATCCCGATGAAATTCACCACAATAAAATATTATGTAAATATAAACATATTCGCAAAATTTTATCGGGCTTGGTCCATATTTGCCCCCTAGCTCCCATATAAAGCCTCTTTCAGAAAATTAGTTTTTCATCCATAAATTGCTTAAATGTATCTGTTACCGACAATTACAGACCCTACTGCTATTTTTGCAACCTTTCCAAATTTTATAATTATTTAAATAACTTTACAACACTGTATTTATATTACTATATTCTTATTATACATACTAAATTCTTGCCATTGTTAATAGTTAATAAGAAAAGCTTAAAAAACTAAAACATTAATCTCAGGTAAAATTTATTAAATATTGTTATGAAATAAAAAATAAAGTATTTCGCTTTCAGAATTTTAAAGTGACAAACTGCTGAAATAAACTTAGTTTGTTTTTATTTTTAACAATTCTTAAAAATTCTTATGACCCATTATGGCTAAGAATATGGCGGAAAATATTACCCTTGCTGCCAACTGCATTTTATGTAGCGACCCGGATGATGGAAACATGATAACCTGCTCTAAATGCCTTCACTGTTTCCATAGTAGCTGTTGTGACCTTAACGACGAAGTTGATATATTTAGATGGAAATGCCAGGATTGTTTTGCTGCGATAGCACAACAAGATGACTCACATAACCCCAAAACACTACACAGTACAAATGAATCTAGTGTTGAAGTTATTGAGACACCAAAACAGCATCCACAAACATCAACAAGTCCAACAACAAAACACACACTAGCAGTCCAGCGGGGTATTAGTATTAGAAAAAAGCTTGAACTGCAGCAGCTAGAGGAGGCGATGTTGTTAAAACAGGAGTTTTTGAGACGTAAGTACCAATTACTACGTGATGAAGCTGATAAATGTCAACAGATCGACAATGTACGGCCAGTGTGTAAGAGTAACAAAAATGCCACAATAGATGACCCACCGTGTGTACAAAGTTGTCAACAAAATGTAAATATTAGCAGACTCCAAGAAAGTACGTCATTAAATAGTTCCACCTTTGGGCGAGTTGCCAATTTAAGTGACGATTACCATCCTTTAGCACAGACACGAACCATTTCCCCAGTTACTACAATAAGTGGCAGCACTACAGAAAACTGTCAAAACATCAATAATGATGACGTCATTCAACAAAACAGGAATGTTACAGGCTGTCAACAGATGGGATTTAATACAATTGTAAACAACACACAATCATTAAATTATTTAAGAGCAACAAATAATTGTGGGAATAATTATTTAAATACGACGGCGACCCAATTAATGTCACGGCAATATGTTTGCAAAGATTTGCCATGCTTTAACGGAGACCCGAAAGAATGGCCAATATTTATAAGTGCCTATGAACACAGCACTCAGGCAGCCGGCTACACAAATGAAGAAAACCTCATAAGACTACAAAACAGCCTACGTGGTAAGGCACGGGACGCAGTAAGGAATTGTTTAATGCTCCCGGATATGGTTCCAGATATTATTAGAACTCTAAAAATGTATTATGGCAGACCCGAGTGTATTATAAAAAACTTAATTGAGGAAGTGCGCTCGTATTCAATACAGCGGGGCAAATTGGAGTCCCTAATAGAATTTTCATTCGCGGTGAAAAATCTTACTGCCACTATTCGTGCATCGCATTTAGAACAATATTTAATTAACCCTACCTTTTTGCAGGAGCTAGTAGACAAACTACCAACAGACACAGTACTACAGTGGGCTTTATATTCCAAAGATATTCCCCATCCTAATTTGACAAATTTTTCAGACTGGTTGTATATGGTAGCAGAGGCTACTTGTAAAGTGACTGTTCCTGTATTTGACACCAACAATAACAAAAAGCCAGCAAAGAAAGAGGGGCGTTTAAACACACATAAGTCGCAGACCCTACAGTATCAGTGTATAATTTGTAAAGACCCACATAAACTGACCCAGTGCGAAAAATTCAAGGAGCTGTCTGTTGCTGAACGTTGGGATACAGTCAAGGTAAACAATTTATGTCGCGTCTGCCTTGGAAAACACAGGCGCAGGTGCTGGTTTCAGAAACAATGTGGGGTAAACGGTTGTACTGTACGACACAATGCATTATTGCACAATGATGAGCAGTCATCAGGTGGTATAGTTAATAACCATAGATCTTCTAGTGAAGGTGAGTCCTTTTATTGTGTAGTACCAGTGACGCTTTATGGAGGAAACAAATCTGTCCAAATATACGCTCTTATGGACGATGGCTCGACTCTTACACTTTTAGAGGAGAAGATCGCTAACCTTTTAGGTGTGAAAGGTATTAATGATCCACTTTGCATAAGATGGACTGGTGACGTCACTCGCTATGAAAATGACTCTAAAAGGTTGGATTTAAATATTTCTCCAGCTAGACACAATTCGAAGATTTTCCCAATCAGCAACGTGCATACCGTAAAAAGTTTAAATTTATCAAGTGAGACTATGAATGTCGAAGGTGTCAAAAAGAAATATACTTATCTCAAAGACATTCCACTGGAAGGTTATAGCAATGTAGTACCATCTATGATAATTGGTGTGAATAACCCAAATTTAATTACATCTATTAAAGTACGCGAAGGTGGCTGACGGCAACCAGTGGCATCGAAAACAAGGTTGGGGTGGACTCTTTTTGGTGGAGGCTCGAAGACTAGTGGAAAACTTAACTTTCACAAATGCAGTTGCGATAAAGTTCATGATCTTGTAAAACAATTCTTTTCTGATGAAAGTGTGGGTATTACTTCAACACAGTCAGTGCTTATGTCAAAAGATGATGAGCAAGCTTTACAAATACTAAATGACACTTGCACATTTCATAATGGCTAATATGAAGTTGGACTTTTATGGAAAGTGGACCCGCCAGAGTCGCCAAATAGTTTTCCAATGGCAATAAAACGCTTAAAGTGTTTTAAACGAAAAGCACAGTGGGACCCCAACCTGGCCGATAATTTAAAACTACAAATTGCCAATTTAGAAGAAAAGGGCTATGCTCAAAAGTTACCTATTGAAGTATTACAGCAAAAAGAAACCCACTTACCCACCTTTATAGTAAGGAACCCACATAAACCAAATAAAATACGACTAGTGTGGGATGCGGCCGCTAAGTCTGGCGATTTTGCTCTCAATGACTTTTTGTTTAAGAGTCCTGACTTACTAATTCCCGTTATAAATATTTTATTCAAATTTAGAATGGGACCTATAGCGGTATGCGGCGATATTGCAGAAATGTTTCACCGCATAAAAGTTCGTAAAGAAGATGCAAGTGCGCAGCGTTTTTTATGGTGGGACGAAAACAATTCCCTCTTGGTATACCAGCTAAATGTACTCACTTTTGGAGCCACATGTTCGCCTTGTATTGCGCATTTTGTTAGAGACAAAAATGCTAGACAGTTTGGCGATGAAAGTGCAATTGACGCTATTACAAAACAACATTACGTGGATGATTTTGTTGACTCTACAAACACAATTGAAGAAGCTATCGATTTGGCATTAAAGGTAAGAAATGTTCATGCAAAAGGAGGTTTTGTCATGCGCAACTGGTCATCAAACTCCCTAGAAGTTTTGAAAGCGCTTGGAGAAACAGAAGGACCAGACCAAAAAACTTTTGAAAGTAACGTGAATGTGACTCAGTTTGAAAAAATTCTTGGGCTATATTGGGACTCAAAACAAGATGTTTTCAAAATGAATTTAAAATTTGTGCGACTTCATCGTCCTATTCTGTCTGAGGACTTAGTGCCTACAAAGCGAGAGGTTTTACAAGTTCTAATGTCCGTTTTTGACCTCTTAGGCTTTGTGACTTGTTTCATGTCATATTTAAAAGCAATTCTACAAGAAATATGGCGAAGCGGTATTGATTGGGACCAGCCTCTTAATGTAGACCTCTTTAATAAGTGGAAGAATTGGCTTACATTTTTGCCAATTTTTCCCACGATATCCACACCACGTTGCTATTCATTAGCACTACAATTCCATGATTACAATGCTGAATTGCACACCTTTGTCGACGCAAGTGAAGATGCCTATGCAGCCGTTTCATATTTTCGTATTGCTTTCAGAGAAAATGTTGAAATAATACTAGTCGCGGCGAAATCAAAAGTGGCCCCACTTCGACCCCTTTCTATACCACGCCTTGAATTACAGGCAGCAACTATTGGTGCTAGGCTAATGAAGACAATTATGTGTCACGACATTAAACTGCAGCGAAAGATATTGTGGACCGACTCAAAAACAGTTTTGTCTTGGTTAAGCGGAGATCCTAGAAAATATAAACAATTCGTGATGTTTCGAGTTGCGGAAATTTTAAAATTCACAAATATTAACGAATGGCGTTGGGTTCCAAGCTCAATGAATGTTGCTGACTTTGCAACAAAGTTTAGACCAGCTACTGATAATTACAAGGATTGGTTTGAGGGTCCATCTTGGCTGAAACTACCTGAAAGTCAGTGGCCAGTTACCCCCCAACAGAACGCAGACGATGCTGATAAAACTGAAATTCGACCCCGTTATCTAAACATACACTATCGTACTTCGACAATGATTTCAATTAATTTTGAGTATTTTTCTAGTTGGTACCGACTTAAAAGAGCTGTGGCAAATTGGGTATTGTATGTTGAAAGAAAACTACAAAAGTTACGGCAACAGAAATTTGTTGAAATGCTAAATTCATCACATCTGGTTAAGGCAAAGAAGATTATATTGAAAATGACCCAAATAGAAAATTTTGCGGATGAATACGCTGCACTACAGAAGGGTAGACCCAATATTAAAGGTGGTGCCTTTGATAAACTTAATGTTTATATGGATGATGATGAAATTGTCAGAGTGAAAAATAGGGCGCAGTATGCTACAACAGCTTGTGGAACTCAAAGAGATTTAATAATATTGCCAGGTAAACATCATGTTACATTATTATGGATTATCACCGAGCTTACCACCACTTAAACCACGAGACGGTTCTAAATGAAATACGTCAAATTTATTTTATATTAAAATTAAGAGCGATATATAAATCTATTCGCAGAAATTGTCAGCAATGTAAAATCGTTACTGCGAAACCTATCTCGCCTCAAATGGCTTATCTGCCACCAGCACGTCTAGCAGCTTTTCAACGACCCTTAACCTTTGTTGGAGTCGACTATTTTGGCCCAATAGCTGTGACATTTGGCAGAAAATCATTAAAACGATGGGGAGTAATATTTACGTGCCTCACAATAAGAGCCATACATATAGAAATAGCCCATACACTCTCAACAGACTCTTTTTTAATAACGCTTAGAAATTTTATAGCAAGGCGCGGTACTCCTGCTGAAATTTATAGTGATAATGGCACAAATTTTAGAGGTGCTGATCGGATTCTTCAGGATGAGTTTAAAAATATAGAGTTCAACAAAGTACAAACTGACATGGCTTATAAAGGCATTTTATGGAAATTTAATCCGCCAGCCGCTCCTCATATGGGGGGAGTTTGGGAGAGGTTAGTGAGGTCTATCAAAACTATTTTATACAAAATATCTCCTGCGCAAAGATTCACCGACGAAAGCTTAAGAAGTGTTTTAATGGAGGTGGAATTGATAGTAAACTCAAGACCGAAGACCAGGAGGCCATCACCCCGAACCATTTTCTTTTGGGTAGCTCCAATGGTTCAAAGCCATTATGCTCAGCCGATAACATTGATTATAAAATGTGTTTGCGTCAAAGTGAAATATTTGCTAATTTATTTTGGCGACGCTTTGTAAAGGAGATGCTACCGATATTGACACGTCGAGGCAAATGGTCACAACGATCTAAACCAATTGAAGTTGGTGATATTGGCAGCGAGGAAAAGTTACGGAGGTCACAAAAGCAAAGGATGGTCAAGTGCGAAGAGCTAAATTGAAAACTATGAATGGTGTTATTGAGCGACCCGCGGTAAAGTTGGCAGTTCTGGATGTCGGCAATAGACATGAGTAAGACTCTCAGTGACTCATCTTACTGGGGGGAGAACTGTTACCGACAATTACAGACCCTACTACTATTTTTGCAACCTTTCCAAATTTTATAATTATCTAAATAACTTTACAACACTGTATTTCATACTCCTTTATATTACTATATTCTTATTATACATACTAAATTCTTGCCATTGTTAATAGTTAATAAGAAAAGCTTAAAAAACTAAAACATTAAACTAAGGTAAAATTTATTAAATATTGTTATGAAATAAAAAATAAAGTATTTCGCTTTCAGAATTTTAAAGCGACAAACTGCTGAAATAAACTTAGTTTGTTTTTATTTTTAACAGTATCGGAACAAGGGAATATTGAAGATAAATGTTTTATTATGAAAAATAAATCACATTTAATATTCATAACTGGTGTAGGGTATCATATGGTCGTCCACGCCCGACTATACTTTCTTACTTGTTTAAATTTGTAACTGAATGTAAGACTGTTTCTAGAATAACAACTATTGAGTAAATTGCAAGATTTTGTGAAATATTTCACTATTTAAGTGACTTTCTAAAAAAAATCGTTGACAAAATTCGAAGATTTTGTGAAATATGTCTCTATGCAATGGCCAGTTACCCCCCAACAGAACGCAGACGATGCTGATAAAACTGAAATTCGACCCCGTTATCTAAACATACACTATCGTACTTCGACAATGATTTCAATTAATTTTGAGTATTTTTCTAGTTGGTACCGACTTAAAAGAGCTGTGGCAAATTGGGTATTGTATGTTGAAAGAAAACTACAAAAGTTACGGCAACAGAAATTTGTTGAAATGCTAAATTCATCACATCTGGTTAAGGCAAAGAAGATTATATTGAAAATGACCCAAATAGAAAATTTTGCGGATGAATACGCTGCACTACAGAAGGGTAGACCCAATATTAAAGGTGGTGCCTTTGATAAACTTAATGTTTATATGGATGATGATGAAATTGTCAGAGTGAAAAATAGGGCGCAGTATGCTACAACAGCTTGTGGAACTCAAAGAGATTTAATAATATTGCCAGGTAAACATCATGTTACATTATTATGGATTATCACCGAGCTTACCACCACTTAAACCACGAGACGGTTCTAAATGAAATACGTCAAATTTATTTTATATTAAAATTAAGAGCGATATATAAATCTATTCGCAGAAATTGTCAGCAATGTAAAATCGTTACTGCGAAACCTATCTCGCCTCAAATGGCTTATCTGCCACCAGCACGTCTAGCAGCTTTTCAACGACCCTTAACCTTTGTTGGAGTCGACTATTTTGGCCCAATAGCTGTGACATTTGGCAGAAAATCATTAAAACGATGGGGAGTAATATTTACGTGCCTCACAATAAGAGCCATACATATAGAAATAGCCCATACACTCTCAACAGACTCTTTTTTAATAACGCTTAGAAATTTTATAGCAAGGCGCGGTACTCCTGCTGAAATTTATAGTGATAATGGCACAAATTTTAGAGGTGCTGATCGGATTCTTCAGGATGAGTTTAAAAATATAGAGTTCAACAAAGTACAAACTGACATGGCTTATAAAGGCATTTTATGGAAATTTAATCCGCCAGCCGCTCCTCATATGGGGGGAGTTTGGGAGAGGTTAGTGAGGTCTATCAAAACTATTTTATA